GCTCGTCTTCTTCCTCCGTTTCCTGGGACTTGCTGTAAGTCTGATACCTCGTGCTCGCGGACCAGGCGCTTGACCACGCTCACCAGCCCCATTTTTACTGCCTCGAAGAGATCAAGGGGGGGAGGCGAGATTTCAGGGTCCCTGTGCGGGTACGCTTCCGCCGTGCTTGTGGTCGCTGTGCCCGAAGACACGGCAAGCGGCGCTGGCCCCACCACTTCGTTTCCATTGTGTGCGACACTGGGGGCGGATTTTGGAACCGCGGCAGGAGCGGCGAAGGTAGTATCCGAAGACGAAAGGATTCCACTGGTCTCAATCTCGTCTTGCGTCGTGACCACAGTCGGGTTTGGCAGCTCTTCGTAAGCGCTGAGTTGAGCTGCTAGTCTCTTCGACAAGTGTGCGTGAAGAGTTGCAAGTTCTGAGGGAGGCAAAGATTCCAGGTCGGCGAGTGTCATCTTCGACTCTTTAGTGCCCGCAGAAGGCAAGGGCTGATTCGCCGTCATTCCCTTTTGCTTGCAGCAGGCGCGGTGGCTTTGGACGCGGTCATTGCTTGCAGACGTGCCAGCCTGTTTGAACAAATGTAGGTTCCAAACGGACGCGCACATAGAGTATCACACTGTATGAGGTGCTGCTCTAATCGATCCCACTTTTTCATAAAAGAGAAAAAGAAGCATTTCTACCCACCTGCTTCGGAGCCTCCGGCAACATCTTTAGGTCGACTTTTCTTGTCTCCTTGTTGCTGTCGCTTTTTTGAGGACGTTGTTGCGAAAGACCAGCCGCTGGGCTCACGAATTTGGAGGTCATACGCTGTCTGTTCCGAGTGAAAGCTGAAATCTCTGACAGAAAAGGAAGGGGATTGTCTTCAATGCCAGATAATACAGAAAAATCCTCAACATGCAGAGGAAGAGCCCGAAGACACCACCACATTGCCAATACTATCGTGGGCTATCATAAAGTAATACGTATTAGTACATACACGACGCGGGGGGGCTGGTTTTGCGGGCTTGTAAGCGACTCTTCTCGCCCGGTCTACGACCGGTCCGCGTAAGACAAGGGGGGAGGAGGTTATTGCTTAGACCCCAAGGCCTGTGTCTACGAGAGATATATGCATGCACAACCCCTAGAATTGCTCGATACGACTGATAAAATATCCCACGGTCAACTACTATGATCTATCCAGAGGGGCTAAGGAGTCACAAAGACATGGGAATTAGAGGAAAGAATTATTTCGCGGCCGTAGTTTTCGTATCAACAGTGACCATATAAATACTGATTATTGTTAAATGTCTATTTTTATTACCATCTGGAAATAACGAACATTATGTTTTTCCTAGCCAACCCTCCGCTATATCTGTTCTTGCTGCCGGACCTCCCAACGCTGTATTTGCTGTCGTGTGCACGTCACCCTCACCCGTCAGGCTTCCGCAGACTCATTCTTTTTGTCACCGCCAACTACCTCGGTGACAAAATTGTTATTTGTATACACACAGATCTCAGCAGCAATGGACATTGCCTTATGGGCAATCTGCTCGGCGTCCATATCCTCCCGGTCCAAAAGAGCTTTAGCCGCCGCTGCAAGTAGTTTGTTGGATTTAGAAGGTCGGATATTAGACAAAGGAAAGGTTCCACGCTCGACCAGCCATGTGACTACACCACTGGAGCATAGTGGCATTGTGAGAAACTTCAATCTACCAAAGGTGGCAATATTGCAGTTCTAGAGGCCAAAGAGTCCCTCAAACTCTTGTGCGATATACATGTATCCCACGTATCCATATACATGTATGTATCTATCCATGCATATCCACCCGCCTCACATGCGTCGGGGTAAGTTCAGGCTCACAACTGTGATTGTCCCGTTTTTCCTTCGCTCCAGAGACATTTTTTTGGATGTCCAAAATTTTAAGAGATCCGTACACAAATATTCTACCATGCTTACCTAGCGCAAACGTCCCTCCTGAGCCGATGGCGATGACCCCATCCTTGGGTTCCAGCACATCACCCAACCCTGTGATTTCAAAAGAGACGTTCTTATCCGCTACCAGCAACGACGCCTCCAACCGCCGCAAGTATTTATCTGTGCGCCAGGCCTTTGCCAAATCCACGCACGCTCGAGTCAACTGACCAGGATGCTCTTCCAACTTCCGCTCCAGGCGCTCCATAAGCGTGAAACAATCCGCCGTGGAGCCCGCAAAGCCCGCTATGATATCCTCTCCCAAGCGCCGGACTTTCTTCGCGTTGGGCTTGACGACCGTTGCGCCCTGCGAGACCTGCCCGTCCCCCATCATTACCACTTTGTCGCCCTTGCGCACACACAGAATGGTGGTTGCATGCATGGTCAAGTGTCCTGCGTGATCGCCCCCGTAAAACCCACTTCTCGGATGCCTGAGGGCCGCCGCTTGATGCAATCGTCGACAGCCTCCCGGCCCGGAAGCATCCGTGTCCCAATTAATGCTGCAACTCGTCAAAGAATTGCTGCTGCATGGTATCGAGGCTAAAGGTGACGTAAAGGAGCCGAAAGGCGGTTTTAAGGCAGTGCTTGTCCCCGAGACGGACCGGCGGAGGAGATGAGAGAGCATGTTTCCTGTCCATGGCAGGGCGGGGAGGAAGAGGGGGGGAAATTTGGTCAGTACTCCGCGACTGACAAACAAGCACACGTTCACATTAAAAGTGTGGTTTTGCGTTATGGTACATTTATTCAATGAAATCTAGAAGCGTTATAATCTCAAAGAGTTCTTATTTGTCTGGCTGCTGCATAGCTGGTGAGAGCTGGTCTGGAAGCCCCCTGCCCTCTTCTAAGCTACAAATATCGCATTCAAAATACCATTTTCAGTCATCATCCGCGAGCTTTCTTTCACTTCCAGAAACCACATTCACCCATATCTTTCCTTCATAGTACTGCTTTTGGTCAATGAAGAGTCAAAACAAAGGACGAAGGATACGGTTATCCATGGCCCCTGAGGACGGGAGAGCGGCCCAAGCACATAATGGCATACACCATATACCAGGCGCAGGCATAAATAACATTGCCCAAATGCGAGGCCCGAGGAAATCTCAAGAGATAAGGAGAGCAAGTGCGCTTCAGGATCGGCGCAGGTATGCCGACATCGTGCTGCTGTCCACAGTTGTGCTGCTTAGCTCCTCAACAGCTTTCACGACAGCTTTCGTCATGAAATCAGTGCCTCCAAAAACTTCGGTTGATTTACGCCCTGGACTCCCTACCTGTGCCATGGTCTCTTCAATTGCGGCAGAGAACACACTGGTAAAAGCTTCTATGCCTCTTTCAACCGGCCCCATTCCTCAAAAAGAGACCATCTTGAAGCTGGGCACCGACGGCTTGGAAAGAGTATTGGAGGGTAAGGGGAGGGCGCGAATGGTATGGCGTGCTGTCCGGGAAGGCCTTGATCCACATGAAACGGATCCAGCTTCGCCTATGTTCGACAGCCGCATTACCAGCAGGACCCGGGCGATACTCCAAGAGCGCGTCCTTGGCCCTCAATGGACCTTGGTGCAGAGGACAAGTAGCACGTGCGGGACGCTCAAGTTGTTGGTTCGATTGCACGATGGACTGATGGTGGAGACCGTGGTTATTCCTGCGCGCTTGGGCCCTCGGTCCAACGGCCTTGCCAGGGGGATGAGCGGGGAGGCAGAGGATTCCTTGGCGCTGGCGTCTCGTTCCACCGTGTGTGTGAGCTCCCAGGTCGGCTGTGCCCAAGCCTGTGCCTTTTGTCTAACAGGGACCATGGGATTTGTCCGACACTTGAGCATCGACGAAATCCTGATGCAGGTGCAGTTGGCCTTGCAGAAAGTACGCGCGGAGGGGCTTCCCGGGCTACGGAACGTGGTGTTCATGGTGAGGATAAGCCGGTGGCGGACAGAGGGGGGGAGGATCAGGACGCATGTGCTTCGATGGTAAAGCTTGCTCACGCATATGATTCTCTTGTCAAACGCGATAACGTGAACAGGGCATGGGGGAGCCGCTGAATAACCATCGCGCTGTCAGGCACGCCTTGGCATGCATGACCGATCCACACGCTTTCGCCCTCTCCCCTTCTTTTATCACCCTCTCGACCGTCGCACCGTCTCCTGGACACGTACGGCATTTCCTTGATATGCCTAAAATTAGACTGGCTTGGTCCGTTCATGGCGCCGCGGATGGCTTACGCCGAACATTGGTGCCTACAACTAGTTCGAGTATGGTGGAGCTGCGGGAAGCGTTTCGAGAGGTGATGGCTCAGCGCGGGGATACGTATATTTTCATAGAAGTGACCTTGATAGAAGGAGTAAATGACTCTTTGGATGATGCTGAGGCTCTGGTGGAATTGTTGAGGCCTTTTGGCAGGACTGCCGTTAAAGTGAATCTTATCCCTTACAATGACACTGGCGTCAATGGCTGGATGCCTTCTCCCCCGGGAAACATTTTGGCATTCCAGACGTATGTACGGACTCATGGCGGGTGGCTAACATTTGCACGCACTCCTAGAGGAAGGGAGGAGTCCAGCGCTTGTGGACAACTGGCTACCGGCTTCTCTGGACAACCTCAGGAAAAGATGTTGAAAGCTCAGGCCCTAAAGAGCTGATTTCCTCGGGCAAATTATAGTCCGTCAGTTAGTGTACAGTGAAAGGAAAGTAACCATGTGCAGCGCAACAAATCACAAATAGTTTGCATGCGTGAATTCTTCCATTTTAATGGTCGTCGTCTCCCAATGTCTTTGCCCTCTCTGTTGTCGCAGAACGAGCAAGTTGAAGTTTCTTTGGCGGATGTTCTTTTCGAGGAGTGACACATGCGTACACGCGTCTCGGGGTTTGATTTCCGGACGGGGTGTCGTACGGTTCTATATTTTACCTCAACTAGCCTACACCGCATTTCTTGAAGTTGAGAGCTGACAATCAAGACGAGCTGGTGGATTTTGTTCATCGACATACGGTGAAGCGGATTTGTTCCGCTTGGATGGTTGCACCTTTTTCTATACACCATGTGGCCCATTTACCATCTGCCCTCATTCCAACAGGAGATTCGATCGAAAAAAAGAAAAGACACACGTGCCCGTCCGAATATGGAAATCGTCAGTCTATTAACGTTTTTATCTGTAGTAGCTCTTGGACCTTATCCAGCAGCTGCTGTAAACTACTTTACTGGCTTAGACTCATTTGTCGCTATGAAAGCCTTGGGAATCACTGATGGCGCAGGCGTACTACAGAAAAACACTCTTTTCTCCTTCTCCAACAATGAATGCGTACACGACTTGCACGACATAGGGTTTCCTTTCATTTTTATGGATTTGCCCGGAGCAACTCACGAGCTGGCAAACATACTTGTGGAAACGCCTCCAAATGAGCTCATGTCATTCTTCAACGTCAGTGATTGCAAATCCTTCTACTCTTTTACTGCAGGCGATTCCATACATGACAAAGGTAATAAAATTGTCCCGTCTGATCAGGCGTCGTTGGAAGATGCTTTTTGGCATGATCAAAGACTGCCCAACCTTCGCATTCGCAATGACTTGCAGCGTGTGGTAGACGTGTTCTGGGAGTTGCGAGACGGATCCTTGACAGAGTTTCGGGTCGTGAGACTTAACTCAGGCCAAGAAGAAAGGTTCCGTTCTTTCTTGGGCGATATTTTCATTTTCCGGGACGCGTATGATGATATGCGTCTCTTGGCCCGCACTGTCATCACGGACGGGAACAAACCTTTGATTTTGTCTCAAACGCTGATGGGCAAGGGCGACACAGAAACTTTGCAATTGAATGAGAACCAGGCCGATGTTTGGCGCGGTAGACAAAACACCAACGTAGCAAGACTTCGCCAGAATGAGCTGCAACCCTCTACCGTGAAGAAATACACAGGTGGGGGGTTCAAGAAGATGCTTATGCCCTCCTATCTTCATACAAGGCTCTTGGAATATCTGGCGCGACATGAAGACCAGCGTATGGATGAACCATGGCACAAGGACGACTTGCACGTCAATTTCTACGAAAAAATGACAACTATCGTTTACACAGATCGAGACATGCGCGACATTGTATTCAAGACCCTGAAACCCATTTTGGAATCTTGGGTAGGCGGGGAGAAACTCATGCCAACAAGCACCTACGGAATACGACGATACTACAATGGAAGCATCTTGCGGGACCATGTTGACATTGGACGCACGCACATTGTGTCTGCCATCCTCAACGTACGACAAGATGTGGATGAAGTATGGCCGCTGAGCATTTTGGATCACCAAGGACGCCGGCATTTCATTGACATGGCTCCGGGGGAAATGTGTCTTTATGAGAGCGCAACGGCCCTGCATGGGCGAACGCAAGCCCTGCGGGGAAGATATTTCGATAATCTTTTCGCACATTTCGCTCCCGCAGCTCCTTTCACGGTTAATGCATCAAATAAATCCGATAAGTAATTATGCATGATCGGGCAGAAAGTAGATGAATAGGATGGGAACAAGCTCGGCAGGAAGCGGAGTTGATGAAAGCGACATGAGAAATAGATTGTCTAAGACACATAACAATATGAATGCTTGTAGAGGTGAAGCAGTGCAGTATGTCGAGAAAACTGACAAGAAATTGTTTACCGAAGAAACATGAATGAAATGGCGATTACGAGGCACATATTACAAATTTTGGGAGTGTTTTGAGATGATTTTGTCGGAGACACAAAACAATGTATAGAGATCTCTGCAGTATGTCGAAAAAACAGAGAGAAATGATTATCAATACTTCGCTGGGATAAGAAAAAAAAGTTTTGGGGTTCAAATGAGACCTGCCGTTGCATGCACATGATCAGTTTTTATCCTCGTTTACAATCGGTATGCATTTATTACGTTCTTTCATTCAAAAAAAAATTAGTGGTCCAATATGCGGAGATTGCCAGTAACGACCTTATCTTCTAGCACCGTTTTATCAGGTATCATGATTACGGACCCTTCGTTTGCGACTATAATGACAGTACCCTTTAGCGTCACATTCGCGCCAAAAACCACGTCTCCTGCCACCGTCAAGTGCTCTAAGGCAAGCAGATCGGGGACCCCATTTGGTATGCGCTCTAAGTAGTCCTGTATATGGACGAATTGTTCCCCAAGCTTTATGATTGGGATCTTATCTTTGGCGTAAGGCCGGCCCGGATTAGGAATGAGCATCCCTCGCGAGACGGAGTATAGAGAGGACTGCACCAAAAAGAGATCAGAGGTGGACTTGACAGGAAGATATCGGCTCCGCGGCACTTTCATAGTCAGGACGTTTGAAAAATCCTTAATGACAGATCCAATTGTCGTCTCGAGCTGCAAGATCTTCAAACGGTCTACGACACGCTCGTGCGTGACCAGGTCAATGGAAAGCTTCTCCTCTACCAGCAAAGCGTGCAATGCTCGCAAATTGATCCAAATATTGTTCGTATGGAATAAAGTGAACTTTTTGGCCACGGTTTCGAGATGCTGCTTTGGAACCTGCGACAGCTCCACCACCACACGTTTACCTTTGTATGTAGTAAGGACCCCTCCGTCCTGATCAGCTCTAGTAAGATCGACCACACCAGTGCAAAATTCAATGTCATTATCTGCAATGTAGTACAATAGATTCAAATCCACAGTCGCCCCCAAGTTGTCGACGTTACTGATGAACATGTATTCCTTCCCCTGCTCGATTAGATTATCAAGCAAGCCGGACTGGAAGAGGCTCTGAAAGAGGTCTCCATGCCCTGGCGGGTACCAGTCCGCTTCATTTTCTTCTGCAAAAGGACCTTGGGGTAGAGGCTGTAAAGTATCTTTGACAATGCGCGGGAAACATGACTGCATGAATGTGTGTATAGTGAGGTTGTGCTGACGGTATTTGTTCAACAGCCGCGAGGTGACTGCGTCTGTCTTGAAGGAATTCATGAGCAACAAGGGGACATCTACCCCATATAAGGAATTCAGATATTCCACTTGCCGCACTGTCATGTCAAGAAAGGTCATGTCCTGGCGGACCTCGATGGCAGACTTGGGTAACGTGCATCCCATCCTCGTACCCAGTCCTCCGTTCAGCTTGAGAATGACCAGCTTGTCCAAGAGCTCGTGACGTACTGCTTGATCATCTGGACATTTAGGGAGCGCCTCCCAGTCCATCAGCTGCTCGGAAGGCACTTGCTCAACCTGTGTCCAGTCTAGAGACGGACGGGTACGAGACTCAAGAAACTTCCCGAAAAGCTTCATGAAATTTTTACGCTGGGGCGGTGGCAATATGTTATCAGTTACAATTGCTTCCCTCATAGCTTCTTCTGCAGAATGGCTTATATTGCCTCGCAGGTATTTGTCCTCGACCTTATGTAATGGTGCCCGATGCATGGTTGCTTAGAATGGGTCGGAGGTGTCGTAGAAGGCAACGAACGCGAATGAGATACGAAAGCGTACAGCAGCCGGCAATTCTTTACAAGAATGTCCTTATCAGTAATTTCTTGGTCTGAGAGAAACAAGCATTCGTTGAGAATGTGGCTGTGTCATGTAAAATGTGGGTACTCTTGAACACTTGAAATAGTCGACCCTTTCCAGTGAGCTTGTGCACTAGCTCCCTTCAAAAAGCCCGTAAAAATCATCCCAAAACTTTCAAACTCTCAAACATGTAACTTGTTGCAGTCATAGCGTCCCATTTCCCAGAGTCGGGTCCTTTAACCTTACACGATGAACATAAAGGCAGCCCCGAGCGCCATAGCAAGATACCCTCCAGAGCCCTACCGCGAGCGATCGTCATCGGGTTTCGACCTCCCCATGAATGCACCTGCACCGCTTCCGTCGCTTACTTGCCTGCCCTCCGTATTCTTCCTTACAGGCGCCACAAAAGCAATGAGAAGTTGTATATCTCCACTCATAGTGCTCTTTGCAACGCTGCTTTGCAATGTCGACTCGTTCTTGGTTCCAGCTCCCACCATTGCATCCGCCTGCTCATCCCAACCTGCGATGGCGGCTGCTGCGAGCACAAGCAGCACGGAAACACAGGACCGTGCCGCCGTGGTGCCTCAGTTACTAGAGTGGTGTAATAAGAATGGTATCAAAGATGCCAGTAAGATCACCATCGGGCCCGTGAGCCAGGCGGGGATGGGTTTGGGGTTGGTGGCCACTGCCCCAATCAAGCAGGGGGAAACACTTGCCACTGTTCCTCTTAACTTGTGCTTCTCCATGGACAGCGTTCGTGCCTCCCCCTTGGGCAAGGTAATAGGAGAATTTGAGCCAGCTCTGGGAGACGCATCCCTGATAGCACTCCAACTCTTGTACGAAGCGCACATGGGACCTAAATCCAAGTATGCTGTCTACATCAAAAGTCTTCCCCGCCCCGGGCAGGATGGCTTTGATCATCCGCTTTTCTGGTCCACCGCCGAGCAGGGCGTGCTCGCCAAGTCATCCACACGCAATCTTGGAGAGACCTTGATAGATGCCGTAGCCGAGGATTACGGATGGATTCAAAGCGCCCTTGCCCGAGGGGGCATCTCAGGCCTTCAGGCTGACAGTTTTGACCTGAGCGATTTTGAGTGGGCGGTGGCCGTGGTCCTCTCCCGCTCTTTTTTTGCCGAGAATGGTTTACGTCTCGCCCCTCTTTTGGACATGGCAAACCGAGGAGAAGGCTGCACGAACGAACCACAGATTGGAGGGCTGGGGATTTTTGGAGGAAAAGGCCTTAAAGTGATCGCGGACCGGGACACGGACAAGGGTCAGGAGATCGTCATTTCCTACGGACCGAAAAGCGGGATCGAATTTCTAGAAGATCACGGCTTTGTACCTCCGCCGTTGGAGGGGAACGCATTGGTCGGGGGGATGTGCTCACTCACCTTTAAAATCTCGCCGGAGGGGGACAGGTTCTATGACGACAAGGAGGACGTGATGGGTACATTGGGGCTGCCCATGGCCTTCTCCTTCGACGTCCGGAGCGATGGCGACGTCGACCCGGAGATGCTCCAATTTTTAAGGTTTCTGAAGCTGGGAGGAAAAGACGCGTTCCTGCTAGAGGCTGTATTCCGCAACGAGGTCTGGCGATTCATGGAACTCCCGGTGAGCGAGGCGAATGAGCAAGCAGTGGACGAGGTCATCATCGATGCCTGCACACAAGCCTTGGCCAATTTTGCGGAAGCAGAGGTCTTGACAGACGAACTTATCCAAAAAGAGGGGGTGAGCCCATTGACGATTGCCAGGATGGAGGCCCTGGCACGGTTACGGGAGTCCGAGAAAGGGGCTTTGGTGGCCACACAGGCCTGGGCGAATCGGGACCTGATGACGAGCGATTTGAAGGTATACTACCAAGAAAGACGGCTGGAGGAGCTACAACTCTCGGGGCCCCTGACCGATGATGAGTACGTGGACGGCTCGGGGGGCCGGCGGACGTCGAACTTGGATTGGTAGAAAAGCGCGGCGGGCAGGAGGGGCGAATGACGAATGATGACTTGAAAGTGAATGAAACCTTTGAGTGATAGAAGCGTATCAAAGCAGCCCACCGAGTATCTGCCTAACGATTCATTCCTTCAGGAGAATGGAAAGGGAAAACCAAGGACGGCGTCCTTTGGATGTCGACCGCAGGCCCGTCCCTCCCTGCCACCATTTTAGCGCTTCGTTCCATTACCCACAATGTCAGAATTGTATAAAGAGCGCCTCATACCCGCAACATTTACTGATCCTCACACACGATGAATCTTACCCATCAGCAGCCCCAACACGATCCTCCGGTCCCACACGTCCAACGACTTGCTGTCCCTCTTCCCTCCTCTCAGTCTCTATCCTAGTCTTCGTGTCTTAACCCACATCTAATAATTTTGATTTGTCGGGGCAGTCGCTTAAACGACAGACAGGTCTAAACTGGTGCTTTTCCCGTTCTATCTCTTGTTGATCCTCCCATATGTACGGTGCCTCTTCTTCTCCTTCCGTTCGTCCAACCTCCTGCTTTGTTCCCCTCCTGTCTCTCGCTTCCTCACTCTTTCCACCCTCTTCGCCCCAGCACGTGCCTTCTCCAGCCCCTTGCTGCGTGCTGCGATTCCGCAATTCCTTCGAGTTTATCCCCATGATGATGCAGCACAGTCAGACACCAGGCAGATGAAGGGGGTGGTAATTCAAGCGCAGGTCTCAGCCCACTTTCCCACCCATTTCAATCCCTTCCGGCTTTGTAGAATTCTCTCCTCCTAATTCTCATCCATCAGAGGCATCCGCACAACTGCCTTCCCCCCGATGTGGGACTCCTCTCTACCATTTTTGCTATTCCGTCAGGATGAGGCATACGAGGTATCTCTCTCCACGCGCACTTTGACCCCGTTTGAAGACACCATTGTGATGCCGCTCTTCAGTTTCAACTTGAACGACGGTTCCTCGTAGAACGTAAAGCGCTGTGCTAATAGCGTGATCATAACCGTTCCTTCCGTCAAGGCCAGTGTGGCGCCGATGCACGACCTGGTGGAGTAGCCAAAGGGGAAGTATCCTTTCGACGGCGACTCCCGCGTGATGCCCTCGAAACGGTCCGGGTCGAAGGCGTCGATGGGCTCCCCCCACTCGTCCGTGTCCCGGTTCAAGAGGCAAATGGGCACGAGCACCTCGGTGTTGGCCGGCACGGTCACGCCGCTAGAGAGTTTCGTATCGCGGATGCAGACACGAGTGACGTGCGGCACCACGGAGTAGATGCGGAGGGACTCCTGGAAACAATTCTTCGCGTACGTCAGCTGGGATATGTCCTCGGGCGTGATGTTGGTCCGGTTCCCAAGGACGCGTTTGACCTCCGCCTTGAGTTTGGCTTGAATCTTGGGATTTTTGGCGAGGAGGAAAAGCGTGTAGCAGGTGCAGAAGGCAGTCGTGTCGTGACCAGCGGCTAACATGGTGACTAGGTGGCTGTACATTTGTTTGCGGGTCATCTTTTCCTGGACCATGACTGTCAATGGATCGTCCACCATCTCTTCTCCCTTTTGCAAGGCCAGGATGCGCGCGTCGATCAAGGGATCGCAGACGCGATGGAACCTCTCCGCGTCCTCCAGGAGCTTCTTCACCCGCGGGATCCAGGTCGTGACTGGGATGCCCAAGACGATGCTCTCGCCGATGATGTTGGAGCCCCGGGACGTGAGTTCGCTCCACACTTCCGAATCGGCAAACTCGTGGTTGATCGCGAACCGGCAAAACATCTTAAAGGCCAGGATGGAGAAGAAGTGTTCCAGGTCGACCACCTGGCCCACGTGCGGTTCCATTTCCGTGTTGATCGCCTGCAGGGTTTGCTCGCACAAAACGGGCAGATGTGTCTCAATCTTCTTCTGCGTGAAATACTTGGCGAACAAAGCGCGGTCGGCCTTGTGCTTGTCGCCCACGCTGGTCACAAGGCCGTCCCCGAAGACGAAGGAAAATTTATCCTTGTAATCTGGGCCCTTCACGAACGTGCGGGGGTCACTCAGGGCCTCGCGTGCGGCAACCTTATCCATCAACACCACGTAGGCCCGTGAGCCTGTGAAGACCCGGTAAATCTTTCCATACTTGCGTCTCAGCTTGCTTAGCCAGCCGATGAACTGTTGTAACGAGGAAAGCAGAGACGTGGGAGGGATTCGTGATCGGTTACCATGAAAATGCGGAGTAAAGCAGTTTTATTGAGTTGGCACGTCACCATAAAAAGAAGACCCGGTGGAAGAAGAGCTCGCAGGACGTACCGAGGTAAGGGCCATACGGTCGTACAGGTTGCCCAGAACTGGCACAGGGACTGGTCCTGGTATTTTGCTGAGCTTTATCACGTCCATCAGGAAGAAAACGACGTGGATGACAATAAAGTATGTGATTATACTCATGATGATGAACTGTGCGGGACAAAATGAAAATAATGAGAAAGCTGTGGTAATACCATACTCGCAGGTGTATCGTGTCCTTCCCCCCACAGTACTCCACTTTCAACGCCCAATTTTGTCAAGTACCATCGTTATGAGCTGGGATGGGCTCAACTCGTCCACCTTGAGCGCCATGGTCGTTATTTTGGTGGAACGTTGCTGGTTATGGCGGTGAGGCAGAGGAAGGAGACGCAAGTGTCTTTGTTCCCTGAGCCGGCCTGTCAGAAGGAGCAAGAGAGGCCAACGTGTGAGAAGCACAGCACCGCACTGAGACCCTACCTCTGGTGCGAATGAAACATGATATCATCGATGCCTCATGGAAATGGTCACGATGTGGGTAGTTTAATGTAAGGTTGCCGACGATCCCCTTCCTTTTTCCAGGTCGTTTTCTGCAGAAGGTGGCCTTCCTGCCCCGACAGCGACTCGGTCGTCGCTTAAACCCAGCCGTTTGACAAGACGCCAAGCCAAAGCATTCCAGGAGCGTCAATGTTTAGCAAGGAGTATTTTGGTTTATGCGGGGGTGATGTAGCAAAAGAAGTCGGGCATGGAACCGCGCAACAAAGAAAGGGTTCTCGTATGTTGCGGCCGATGGGAGGGCGGGACCTCGACCTCCTGCCCCTGCCTTCTTCCTCCCCCATGCACTAGACTCTAGTTCTACGAGATTTTGAAGCTCTATGTTTCCCTCATTGGGGCAGCATGTGCGGAGATCACACGGAAAATTGCTGAGGAATGAAGGCGTTGTACCTTCTCAATCCTTTTCCTCGTTCTCATCGTGAGCTGTGACCTCCCAGCTACAGGCAGGCGAAGGATCATTTCCTTGCTCCGAGAAGCGAACCTAGGGTTTTTACAAGAACGTTATTGCTTCCGATATTATCTGCCTTGGGGCCTCATAATCAATCCATACGCCTCATATAAGGGTACTGCGTGGTAAATTGGCCCCATAAGATGGATAAACTAACGAAACTAATCCCTGCCAAGCCCGATAATGACGATGAAGGGAAGAGCAGCTTGCCCCCTCTGGAGCTGACGGCATTACAAGAGGAAGTGCAGCAATTGCGGATAGAAAGGTCGAGGAAGGAGGCCTCTGAGACGTCGCTCCTCGGAGAGTTGCAACGTCGGTGCAATCGAGTAATTGAGCTCGAGACGCAGCTTGACGACACGAGGGGGCAAGCGCGGCGTCTTCAGTTGGAGTGCGATGCACACCGCGCCAATCAAAAGCAGCTCATGAGCTTACTCGGTGCCACAAGCAGCCACACAAGCACTGACATTATCGATGAGTGTCCGGTGGTGGAGTCTGTCGTCGCATTAAAAGCGCACATAGCTGCGTTGGAGCAAGGGCGATGGGATGGGAAGCGGCTGGCAGCGCAACAAGAAGAGGAGGTAGGTTCTTTACGAACGCAGATGGAGGAGCTCAAGCGCGTTTTAGTGGCAGCAGAAAAGAAAGCGGGTCACACCGCTGCCGGAGAAGACCACAAGGAGGGTGCACCATCTGCGAGGGATCTTGGGCTCCCAGAGGACGTGCACGTGCTCCTGCAACGGTGCCCCTGGACGGAGGCGGTCTTGGGCAACATCTTGGTGACAGAGGAGCTGTACGAATGGGAGGCGTGGTCCCTCTTCCACGGATGGAGCGGGGCAGCGGCGCACCTATCACAAGCAACGCCGGACTTTCGTGATATGGTCTTGCAGTGCACGGACCCGCCAAAAGCGTCCACATCGCATTCCGACGGCGACGGGCCGCGGCCGGCGTACCGACGGCAGGACAAAACGATCACAGACGTGGGGTGCACGACCCTGGTCAACCCTGACGCTGTGGTGCTCCCGGCCGTGGGGTGGGAGTGGCTGGGGGGCTGGCGGCCCGAGGATGGGAAGGAGGGAGGGAGTGGAGCCAAGGCTCTTGGCGCGATGGACCAGGAGGGCTGGAGTTACGGCACGAGCTGCGAGGAGTTAGTCAGGGGACACGGGTCTGAGTGCATGCTGATCCCCGTGGCGGGGCCTGGGGCGCGGCCAGGACAGGGAGGGGTTGCCGAAGAGGCGGGCAGCATCCAAGGCAGTGGCAGCAATACGGCGGCCAGCCCCACAAAGCCCGCTCCTCAGAAGCGGCGGATCCGTCGACGGCGCTGGGTGCGTGTCCGTGTCCTCGCCCACGTCCCTGGAGCCTCCGACATGGTGAACGGCTTCTTAGGCTTGCGTGCCCGTGTCGCTTCCCTCGAGGCCGTGGCCCGGAAACTCTCGGAGCAAGTCTTGAGCCTGCAGGGTGCCTTGAACGACCGAGAGGTTCAGGCAGCACGGTCGGATGCGTTAGAGCGCGCGCTGGTGGCGATGCAGGGACGCTTGCAGAAAGCAGAGCGGAGTC